ATGCAAGAGCGTCAGGAGAGCTGAAGAACACTCAGGAGAGCTGCAGGACACTCAGGGGAGCTGCAGGACACTCAGGGGAGCTGCAGGACACTCAGGGGAGCTGCAGGACACTCAGAGGAGCTGCAGGACACTCAGGGGAGCTGCAGGACACTCAGGGGAGGAGCTCACATGCTGCTGTTTGTGGTTTCACATCCAGGTTTGTACCTGGGCTGGTGTCCTGGCCATGCTGCTGCACCCAGTGCCTGCAGTTCAGCCCGGGAGCCCCTCTGCTGTGGGTGCAGCCCCAGCCCTGAGCTGGAGGGAGCTTCTGCTCCAACACACACCTGGAGTCAAAGCCCATCCCCTGTCAGATGCTGCTCTGGGCTCTGGAGATTGTCACTAGGCACCAATATTTTTGCCCATGATTTTCTGTCTCAAAATAGAGTTCCACTTTCCATTGCCAGTAGCACTAGCTGAAAGGAGAAAAAAAATCAGATATTGGTTCTATTTGGCCAAAATGTTGAGTTAAAGGCAGATGTAGGGGTGACCAAAAGCAACTGGGGCACAAAAACCAGAACATCTGGTGAGAGTAGGTCTAGTGCCCCAAGGAAATGGACAACTCCAGCACTGAGAAAGGGACCCTGAATTATTGCAGCCTTACAGTCCAAATGTGTGATTCCTTTTGGTATGAAAGGCTAATTTGGCACAGTTTGGGATGTAGGTGCTTACTGTGAGTGTGGGAGGGCTGGAGGAGCCTCACCAGCCCCCAAGCCCAGACTGAAGAAGCGATGCCCTCCCAGCAGGGTGAGAGCACGCTCTGGGTGCTGCAGATGACAGCGTGACACGTTCTCAGGCACTGTCACAAACAGGATGTGGGTGACAGGACCCAGCTCTGCTGTGCCCCAGCCTGTGGGGGAGGGAGCAGCCCACAGGCCAGCCAAAGTGCTCAGAGAGAAAAGCAGCTGCAACAGCTTTTTAAAATGGCATTTGTCCTTGCAGAGAGCCCTTTGGGTGGCTCCTGCTCTGCCCCCTGGCAGTGGGGCAGGAGGAGGGTGGCTGTACAGGCAGCATGGGACAGGGACACCGGGGTTTGGCTCCATGTGCTCTGGACCTCCAGCAGCAGAGGTGCTCTCACTGCTCACAGGGGTGTTGGAGGGATTGGAGAGTTCCCAGCAGCCAGTGGAGCCTTTTCTCTGCTTATTCCCCAGGGGCTGAGGGGGCAGCACAAGTTTACTGCAGAGGAAAGTGCAGCTGATCCTCAATGAATGCAACTGGATTTTAAACTGAGCATTTCAATTAATCTGATGAATGCTACAGAGCCTGACCTTCTAAAGGGACTTAACAGCTCGGCTGAGTGTTGCCCACTGCCCAGACCCTTCCACCAGGTCCTGTCTCTGGGATCCATCCTGCCCCACAGCCAGGGATGGTGGGGCTGTCTCTGGGATCCATCCCTCCCCACAGCCAGGGATGGTGGGGCTGTCTCCGTGCTGCTGTTCTGCTGGGCTGGTCCTGCAGCCACAGCCAGCACTTCCTTCCTCACCCTGCTCCGCTGTGGCAGCCCCTGGTCACACTCAGCTCTGGGGCTCTGAGCAGTGGGTCACACTCAGCTCTGAGCAGTGGGTCACACTCAGCTCTGAGCAGTGGGTCACAGCTCTGAGCAGTGGGTCACACTCAGCTCTGAGCAGTGGGTCACACTCAGCTCTGAGCAGTGGGTCACAGCTCTGAGCAGTGGGTCACAGCTCTGAGCAGTGGGTCACACTCAGCTCTGAGCAGTGGGTCACACTCAGCTCTCAGGCTCTGAGCAGTCCCTGGTCACACACACAGTGATGGAGGGCAGCTCCTGGCAGAGCCTCGAGGTGAAGTGGACTCATGTTTTATCCACAGATAGAGCCAGGAGTCGTTCCCGGTGCTCCTGGCACAGACCAGCTGCTGTTAGTGGTGTCACATCCAGCTGTGGCTGTGCCAGATTGGACAGAACAAAGATTTTTCATTTCTAAGAGCTTGAAGAGGCAGAAATCCACCCCGTGGGGTTTGTGCAGAAGGAATGTTTCCCTGCCCTTGAGGGGTGTTTTTGCCTGCCATGAACCCACGGCTGCCTTTTCCTTCTGCAGTCCTGCGGGGTGCTGGGCAAACCCAAATGGTTCTGTGATTCTGTGATAACAGAAAGGAGCTCTCCCCTCTCCAGTCACCAGGCCTTGCTGGTTCTCAGCCTCTCCCGAGAGCACCGACCGCTGCCCGTTGTCAGCTCACGTTCAAACATTGTCGTTCACTTTTCTTGGACAAAGTTTTCCAGCAAAGGATGGAATTTATAAATCAATCACACCAAACTGATTTTAAAACAGTAATAAAAACCTGTTGATTTAAAGACACAAACTCAAAAGATGAATAGAAGCAGTGGAAAGTCTTTGGGTCCATTTCTAATCAGGGGCTGAACTCAACAAGAGGATTTCCAAACCCTAAAGGCCAAAGATACCAGAAATGTTGTATTGTACAAACACAGGATGGCATTCACAGCAGGAGATTACACTGTTATGTAAACCTGGCTCTGGCTCCAGGGTTGAGACGAGTTCAGCTGCGGTCAGAAATGCCCCAGTGCTGCTTGGCTGATTCTCCAGCTTCCCTCTGCAAAGCACTCCACTCTCCATCCTGCCAGCCTTGGGTCTGACTGAGAGTTACCGAGAGAATCATGGAACGCCTTGGCTTGGAAGGGACCTTAAAGGTCTCCCTGTCCCACCCCTGCCATGGCAGGGCCACCTTCCACCACCCAGGCTGCTCCAAGCCCCGTCCAGCCTGGCCTTGGGCACTTCCAGGGATCCAGGGGTCGTCATGGCCCCTCTGAGCAGTGCTGGCTGTCCAGGGCGTGTGGCCGGGTGCGGGTGGACAGCGTGACACCGCTTCGTACGTGGGGCCTGCGCCTGTCCCACCATCAGGGCTGCTCCCCCAAGGGCAAAATGAGCCCATTGTGCCCCAGGGTGAGGTGAGCTCCATCCATGGTGAGCTCCATCCGTGGTGAGCTCCATCTGTGGTGAGCTCCATCCATGGTGAGCTCCATCTGTGGTGAGATTCATCCATGGTGAGCTCCATCTGTGGTGAGCTCCATCTGTGGTGAGCTCCATCTGTGGTGAGCTCCATTCGTGGTGAGCTCCATCCATGGTGAGATTCATCTACAGTGAGATTCATCCATGATGAGGTCCATCCATGGCAAGGTTAATTCACGGCCAGGTTGATCCAAGGCCAGGTCCATCCACATTGAGGTTGATCCACAGCGAGGTCCATCCACAGCCAGGTCCATCCATGCTGAAGTTGATCCATATCCAGGTCCATCCATGCTGAAGGTGATCCATATCCAGGTCCATCCATGCTGAAGGTGATCCATATCCAGGTCCATCCATGCTGAAGTTGATCCATATCCAGGTCCATCCATGCTGAAGTTGATCTGTATCCAGGTCCATCCATGCTGAAGTTGATCCATATCCAGGTCCATCCATGCTGAGGCTGATCCACGGCGAGGTTCCCGGGCACAATCCCGATGGGGAATGTTAAGCGGGTTAGGTGCAGGCGCTGGGGAAGGTGGTCACCCTCCGGGGATTAGGGGTCAGAACAATGGCTGTCCCTGTGACGCCGGGGACACAAAGAGCCATTGTGCCCGGAGCACAGACTCCTGCTTATTCCCCGACATGCCCACAGCCCCGCGCTCCGGGCCAGCACAAAAGCTTCCTTGCTTCAGATTGTTTGTTTATGTAAATTATAATGGTGCATTTAATTATGCAACAGAGCCTCGGCCGCAGGGAGGTGCTGATTGGGCTGGCGAGCCCCGGGCACGGCGGATGGTGGCCGGGCACAGGGGACGAGCCAGCGCCACTCGCGCAGGGAGCAGAGGCAGGGCCGAGGGCCGAGGAGGAGCTCCCCACCCCGGGGCAGCAGCGGGGCCCGGAGGAGCAGGGCCCGGAGGAGCAGGGCCCGCAGCATGACAGAAGAAGCCCCCGCAGGTGCCACCATGCCGGCGTGCAATGGCAGCGTCCCCCCGGGGGACGGCCCGCTCCAGGTCATCGGTGGCATCCAAGAAATCGCAAAATCTCTCGGGACGGTCCCGTGCGCAAACGAGGAGACGAGCCCTGACACCTCACCTGCAAGGGAAAATCCGGAGGAAAATAGGAATTCATTGGCAGAGGACATCACTCCTGAGAAATGTGCTGGAGAGAAGCGATGCCAAGGTATGGTACGGGGCTGCTGTCTCTAAGTGTCGGGAGAGAAAAGTTCTGATGAATAACGGGATGTGCTGTGTGTTAGTCAAAACTCCTGATCCGTGGTAGCTGTCACTGGGAGTATTTCAGAATCTGGGACACCACGAGGGGTGCAATGGAAAGCTCATAACTAAAGAAATGAGCAATTCTAAATCTGAAAATCTGCCGACCTGCAGCCATTAAAACCTGATTGTCATCACTAATTGCTCCGTCAGCCCATGTCCTGTGCTTTGTGTTTCCCAAAGAAAAGCGAGAGGAGAGCGTTGGGACACTACAGCAGGGAGCGGCGGATATCCAGGACACAGGGACCAATGGCCAGGGATCAGGGGAAGGTAATGCCAAATGCCATCTGCTCTGGGGTTTCCCTGATGGGCAGCAAAGAGACAATGGATGCAGGTGGTGATTATCTTGTTTGAATTGGGTCAGACCCTTCTATCCCAGAGAGCAGGGACTCGTTTCCCACCTGTGAGCTGCTGCACCTTAGAAAGCAGAACCGGTATCTTCCTTGCAGAGGTTTTACATATCTCACTGACCATGGGCTACTCAGGCATTGTGGGGTCTTCAGCCAGGAGGTCCCCAACAGCCTCATGAGGCTCAGAGATACTCTATCTTCTGCTCCATGCTCAGAGGAGACCCCTGTGAGGCTGCTGGTGGTCACAAAACCCAAATTCTTTTTTTGCCTGATTCACCAAGTGTTGGATCCCTCAGTACCCAAGTATCCACATAAAATCTCTGAGCAGCTGCTCCTGGGTCTTGCTCTGCTCATTTCTGAGTGGAGATGGTGGGAATGAGCAGGAGCCAAGGCTGGAGCCTCAGCCACCTCCTGTGGTGAGCAGGGCTGCAGGGGGGTCCCAGTCACGAGTTAAAAATGCACCGAGTATATACAGAAATTAATATATTTAATTCACTATGCAAACTGCAGCCACTTCTTCAAAAGGAGGAGTATTTTGTGGTGTGTTACTAGAGGAGAGCAGCCAGATCTCTCCAAGAAGGGCTCTAGGCATTGTTCCTTTCCTCATCTCCAGCACAGGCTCCTCCTGTCTCGTTGGCTTTGGCAGTGGTGGGACAGGGGTGGCTGGACCGGGAGCCGCTGGTGATGCTCTGCCCTGAGCTTTGGAACGGGCTCTAAACGAGCCACGGGCTGTGCCCTGAAAGCAAAACCTGCTTCCATTGACAAAAGGAAAAATATCTGAACGTTTGTCATGGGCAGATTAGTGTTTCACAGGACAGGCTGTGAGGAGATGAACAGTGGTGGAGGCTTTCCCACTGAGAGCTGACATCCGTATTCCAGCTGTGCTGCTTTAGGAGCACACAATAAAACCTATTAAAGGATCTCTCGTGGGCCCCCTGCGCCCGCCCTGCAACCACAGCACTTTATCTCGAAATTGCAGGCAGCTTTTTACTACCCAACCAATTTAGTCTAATTAATACTCTGGACCCCACAGGCAAAACCTTGAATAGACCATTTGTTGCGACACTAAAGCATCATTAACCGCAGAGACGTGCCAAACAGGGCAAATGGGACACGGCCATCGCAGCCGGGGTGGCCAATGCTGAGGGAGGGACACAGCTGGGCACTGCGGGCAGAATTGCTCCTTCCCTTTCCCCTTCCCCTTCCCCTTCCCCTCCCCTTGGCCAGGAATGGGTTCAGGAGGGCAGGGAGTGTCCCCCGAATGTCCCCAGCCGTACCGGGGATGGCGAGTTGGGGGCAGGAGCTGGTGCTCTCCCCGCAGCCCCAGTGTCCCCCCGTGTCTCCCCATGTCCCCCGTGTCCCCCCGTGTCCCCCCGTGTCCCCCATGTCTCCCCATGTCTCCCATGTCCCCCCTGTCTCCCCATGTCCCCCCCGAGCCCCCGCGC